TGGAAGCTTCTTTCCTAAATGACATAGAATTTTCTATGTAAAAGGCTATAAAAGTATTAACTTTAGAAACACAAGTTTAGAGTTTACCTGAAGAAGGTGGGTGATATTAAAATATGACACTAATATGAAAGCTAAATAATTACAGAGAAGCTACATATTTGTAAGGAAGTGGTGAATTGGGGGACATTCTAAAATGACAAAGACTGGGAAGGACAGAGAAGTGAGGAAAGACATAAAATGACAAAGACTGGGAAGGGCAGAGAAGTGAGGAAAGACAAAGCAGGGGAGCTGTGGACCAGGAACAGCAGGGAGGGAGAAGACAATGTCACCGAAAGAGGAATGGGAGAGGAATAATGCCGCCATGTTAGAGAAAGGGAGTTAGTGACAGGCACGCCTTTGGACATTCCTCTTTGACACAGTGGCCCTCAACCTTGGCTGCATCACACAACTGCATCAGGAGCTTCTGCAAACCAAAAATGGTGTGTCCTGACACCACTTGTTATGATTCATTTTGTTGGTGTGGGGTCCAGTAAATCATTTGTTTAAATACTTCTCAGTGCACTTATGACTGAGACCCACTGAGCTAGGCATGTATGTGAATGAATGTTGTGTTAAGAGCATATGAGATTCGAATTGGAAGAACCATGAAAATGAAGGAGACATTCAGGATTCCCGAAGAATTGTTAGCACAATGCATCTTTGCTTCAGTGGCTAATTCTGCTTAGAAATCTGTATCCTTAGAAAAGAGTGTTCATGCTGCCTGGTAGGCACTGTGCTTACCCCAAGGGCAATCCTGGTGAGTAGTAGCACAGCCATCTTTGAGGCGTGGCTCTCCAGGCTTTAAAAACTTGGATAACTCACCAGAGGACATAGAGAATGAAGGAAGCTGAGTTTTCAGGAATCAAACTGAATTTTCTCTCCTAAGTCACATCTTTTGCTTATAAAATGTGAGGAATCACTACCACATTTAAAAAAATCAGTGTATTAAATTAGATAGCATCCTTATATATGGTAACTCTAATAAAAGTTCAAGGAGAGCCCAACAGGGAAGTGCTATGGCCAGCTTTCTCTAGGGGCTACTGGTTTATGCTACATAGACAAGAACGGAAGTGACCACCAGAACCTTTTTAGTCAAGTGATAAAGTATGTAAGACTTGGTCAAGCTTTTCATCGAAATAGTTGCATATCTCCAGGATATGCCACAGGTGTCTAAGTCTTCCTGTTTTGTATGTTCACATATGATAACCAGAAAGAAATGCATAAATATAGGCTTGTTTTAGTGAAATTTGTTGTAGTTTTTATGAAGTGTTCCCATCAATTTCTTAATGATCTGTACATAGCCATCAGCATATAAAATATATTTTAATGAATGTTAATGATATAAAAAACCCATTGCTATAGGCTGGGAGATGTCTCAGGAGGCAAACTGCTACTAATTGTGAATCAGGACCCGAATTTGAGTTCCCATAACCATGTAAAGCTGAGCATGGTGACATGCATGTGTAACCCCAATGCTCCTCCTGGGAGATGGAGGGTAATTCCTGGAAGCTTGATGGCTAGCATGATGTACACAGTAGCAATCAACACAAACAAGACCCATAATCAAATAAGGGGCATCTGAGTTCCACATGTGCACCATGACACATGTGCATCCCCCCACACACACCATATGAATTTTATAATGCAATCTAGATGCCTAGAACAGCACCAGAGACATATTCAGAGTATTAAGAAGAAAACAATGTCATTGCAGAGGCAGCTTCGATGAACCCACCTCCAAATTCTGTGTCGCCTGTGTGACAGAAGCGTTTGATTACCTGCATCGACTAGGCATTATCTACAGAGACCTGAAGCCAGAAAACTTAATTCTGGATGCCGACGGCTACCTTAAGTTGGTAAGGCAAGTTTTCTTACAGTATCATGTGGAATATTTCCATAACAAAGTTGTGCTATTGTAGCAATCTTTCAGTTTTGGTGCAGCTGCTATTTTTACTCTAGGGGATGCAGCCCTTGAATACTCCTTGCTTAATATTGTGAGCAATGCTATTTATGTAGTCTATTTAAAATGTTTGTTTATGTGTATGAGTGGGTTGCCTGCGTGTGTGTGTGTGTGTGTGTGTGTGTGTGTGTGTGTGTGTGCACTACATTCACACCTTGTGCCTACAGAGCCAGAAGAGTGCATCAAATACCCTGGAAGTGCAATTGTAGGTGTGAGCTGCCATGTAGTTGCTAGGAACTGGTCTAGGTCTTAAGCAATATCAGCCAGTACTCTTAACCTCTGAGCCATTTCTCCAGTAACTGAAGACTCAAATCATAAAATGCCTTTAAAATTTGTTAGTATTGTTTAAAAATTTTAACTGCCTTGTGAAGAATAAAGATGTTAGTATGATTTCTATCTCAAGGTATTCACTTTCTAAATAGGAAGAGAAGGAAACGTGATCATTGGTAGCATTTGCGAAATCTTTCTAGTTGTTCTAATAGGCAGTGACTATTCGGAAACTATGAGACTATAGGCTCAATAAGGATCAGATTTCCTTGCTGTCTATGTCTGGGGTCCATTAATTCCCAATAGGAATCCATAGGACATTACACAAAACATAAAAAAGATACTACATAAACTTCTTCCAGTGAGAAACTAGTAGAACTTGATGGTTGAACTGAGGGAAAATAAAGGCACTCTGGACCTCATGAGGAAACCTACAGGATGGGAATCATGGTGGCTTCCAGATGTCTATTTTCATAGCTCCTTGAAGACATCAGGCTATATCCGAATTTAACAGTTGCAAAGACATGGTTACCTCAGGGTTTGGATGTAAGAAAATACCATTATTTACTGATCAATCACCATATGCAAATGTCTTGTTAAAACTGTCACAGTGACTCTATTCAATAGTATAAAGATAGGTTTAATTGGTATAATTGTAAAATTCAGCCCAAGTGATTACATTTGTTATGTTTAATTTCTAAGAGATCTTTTTCTATGAAGTAAAATAAGAGCCTTTTCATGTGAAACCTGGCTCATTTCCAAGAAACATTTTGATCCATTCAAGCTTTATTTTGTCCATGAAAGACAGCTTTCAGAACTGGTGCGGTGCAAACACAAGGCTCCAATCACTTCTCTTACAAATCTCAATTCCTACATTGACTGTACCTCCCACAGCCCTTCAGGAGAACTCTCTGGAATATTCTAGAAGAAAGAAAAACTCTCTTGAGGGCTACAGACTGTTTATTAAATTTATCTCTTACATTTTGTACCTGTTTTTTCCCCACACACCTCAGGCAGAAA